TGGGAGTTCAGCGACACAGCCATTACGCTAACTGTTGGTCCCTATAGGCATATTTTTAAAGAATTATTTTATTTAACTTTATTTATATTTATATATTATTTATTTGACTAGAGAGGGACAGAGAGACAGAGAGAAAGCAAGCTACCAAGTCTTTCGGTCATGTGGGAATCCAGCACCCTTAACCAGCATGCTACCTGCTGGGTCTGATTACAGGCATATTTAAATGCTATTTTTTGTTGCGGTTTTTTAAAGGATTTTTTTTCATTCCCTAAATCTTTATTGAGCATCTATTTTTTTGTCAGCTGTTGCTGCAGCCTGAGAACACATTGGTCAGTGGTACAACCCTTTCCAGAGCGTCTAAACAGACAGCAGAGCCACTGCCCATCTGCTTGCTGTCTCTGGGCTCCAGCTGCAGTGGGACCAGGGGCCAAAACTGAGTTCTCTGTGTCCACGCAGGCAAATGCACCTCACTCTGTCCATCCTGAAACAGCAGAGCTTGGCAACAGTGGGCCTGATTCACATCTCCAGTAATGCACATGTGCACAATGGACAGCCTCTGTGACCCTGGAAAAGCCACCCAAAGACTCTTGACCCCGCTGGGTTCCCTCTTATCGCTCATGTAACTGAGAGAAGTCCTTCCTTGGTAGGGTTGTTTTCACAATGTCCGTGCGGTGATTCAGATGCACACACGTTAGCACACCAGGTCTCATACCGGGTTGGTGCTCAGTATCTAGATCATAATACAGACCATTTTAGGAGGTTTCATTAAATAGAAAGAAGCAGAAAGAAATTGAGAGCCTGGGAGTACTTAAATGGGTGCCGAGTGCTGGAATTGAAGGCACCTTTTGTCTCTGGATCTCTTTAATGGTTCAGAGCCTGGGCACTGCGTACCTGGGGTGGGTCTTGTCCTTCACATGGCTGTGGGCTCTGGGGCCAAGTTCCCTCACCTGCATGGTCTGAGCTCCTTATCTGTAAAGTTGAGGTGGCAGTTATCCATCATCGGGTTTTGTGAGGATTAAATCCGATCATGTATTGTTGATATTTAATAAGGAGATGCCTAAAAAACAGGACACAATTGTGAATTGCTGTTAGACTGTTTTCTTCATTATTTCTATCATTGTTATTATTATTAGGCCAAAGAATTTCCTGAGGCATACATAGCCCTCTGTGAGAATGTGGCGTTGGTCTACAGGCATGAGGATGCTTTTCGTAGAGGGGATTAGAAGCTTTTCTTGTTCAATTCTGTTTGTTTAAGTCTTCTGCCATAGACCGTGTGTACTTACTAGAGAGAGAGAGACAGAGACAGAGGGAAGGTGAGAAATCATTCCCTGGGGGAATGGCCACTCTGCAATTCCTTCTTCTCCATTCTCCTCCTGGGATTTTGGGTACACAGGCACACGAGCCTGGGTCTGAGACTCAAACCCACAAGGTCAGCCTTGTGGAAGTCCAGCACCTTAACTACCTTGCTACCTGGTAGCCCCAAGATTAGAAGCAGTCTAAAACTATTTCGAATTATTCTTTTTTATTTTAGAAGAAACAGCTAAGAGCCTTTTCTCCTTTTGATATGTGCTGATATCAGGAATAGAATAATACGGAAATCAGTCATAGGCCATTTGATTTAATACACACAGAATTCCCAGAAGAGTAGGAAGTTCATGTTATTCAGTTGAGTGGGGTGCATTGTAAAGTATTATCCTGTGTTTTCTGTTTCTTATTCACCTTTCAAATGCTTTCTGTTCATTTTTGAAATACTATTTATATCTCTTATAGGTAAACCCATCAAATCACAGACTCCTCTTTGAAGTATTTGACGAAAACAGATTGGTAAGTGGATCCCTGTTTTTAAATTTTGTTTCATTTGTTTTTTAAAAACCACACTTTTAGGGCAGCATCTTTAAAACTCTGTATTTATGTGATACTTAAGACAGTGTTTATGCCAAAGAGAGGACTGTTTGGTTCAGCATTCATAATTCTGACAAATGCTTCTGTGTTGTAGGACAGACAATTTCTTCATATATGTGTATATATTTATCACACCAACATTAAACTAAGCCCCCACGACGGTGTCAGCCCGTGTGCTTGTCCTGTAATGTTATGAATACAGAATGGTAGGCAGTGCTGTAAAGAGGCCACCAGGCATGGAAATGTGCCGTGTGTGCGTGTGTGTGTGGTGGTTAAGTACCTATGGCACAGGCTAATATGGCGATGCATTCTAGTGCAAAACTGCAGTGATTCTCTCTGGGGAAACACAAATCTAATTAGCAGGAGATAGCAGAGATGGAATCTGTACTTAGCAGGTAAAATGAAACTCTCGTTTGTGGGTTTTTTTTTTTTTTTTTCACATTTTTGCTATGGGGTATGTGCCCTTGATAGAGAGAGACAGAGACAGAGAGAGGAAAAGTGAGAAATCACCACACAGAGGTGATGGTCACACCACAGTCCCTTCTCCTCCATTCGCCTCTTCGGCATGCACACACACACACACACACACACACACACACACGGCCCAATGTGATTTTCAAGCCATCAGGTCCAGGACTTGAACCGCTGTCAGCCATGTGGGAATTCAGTGCCTTAACCACAATGGCACCTGCTGGCCTGCATTTTGGTATCTAAACTAACTGGATTATATATGTCCAGATACTCTTGAATTGTGCTGATTGGTTGGGAAAAAAAAATTTCTTATGAATGCTGCTTTCTGCAAAATTCAACAAAAACTCCAAGTATTTTAATAGCTTCAGGTTAATAGCATATTTGATCTGAGGAGCCTTATTTAAAAACAAACAAACAAACAAGCAAAAAAAACCTCATTTGACTCTCTGTCCTTACAAATGAGAACACCTCAGTCTAAAGTCTTTACATAATTTAAGTGAGTCAGTGGAAGCCTCAGGTCTAACCCACTCGTCTCCCAAATCTCAGCCCAGTTCTGGTGAATAGCCAGGCTTTTCACTCTTACTTGAGAATTTGAGAGTATATTTAATCTCATATGCTTAGTATTACTCTTCAAAATAGAAAGTGAACCGATTCTGACCTACCATCCTGATATCTTTGAAAATATGAGATTGTGCTGACTTGTGTTGAATTGGACTTTTTGTACCTTGGGTGATAACTACTTCTACTGAATAACTCACTCACTTTTGTCATGCACACAAAGTTAACCTCGTCAGAATGGTAACTTCTGCTAATGATAGGGTTCTTGTGTCTCCATCTCTCATACAGCCAGGAGGACTATGAATTGGGCAGTAGGCAGTAAAAAACATAAAGATAACATTTATAGACTAATTCGTTTTTTTTTTTTTTTTTAGAGGTTTTCGCTATAGGGCGCGTGCGCTCGCCAGACAGACAGAGACAGAGAGACAGAAAGCGAGAAATCACCCCCCAGAGGGGATGGTCACGCCGCAATCCCTTCTCCTCCATTCTCCTCTCGGGATCTTGGGCACGCACGCACATGCGCCCCGGCGTGAGTTTTAAGCCACTGGGTCTGGGACGCGAACCGTGGTCAACTACGTGGGAGTCCAGCGACATAGCCATTACGCTAACTGCTGGTTCCCTATAGACTAATTCTTATTCTCTGATTTATTGAGTATAACAGTTCTTTTGTAAGTTGAAGGGTCACATCTGTGAAAAAAACTGCCTTTTGTCCACTGTGTTTTAGTTTGTTATTTAATTTGTGTCACGTAAGAGAAAAGCACCAGTAAAATTTAACATGTTGATAATCTGGAATAATGGCTGCAGTTGAGATGGCCCGTGGTGGGTCTGAAACTAGACTTCCAAACCAGAAAGGGCTTGCTTCGAATGCAAAGGTTTTATGAAATCCTGTGTAAATACAAACTTTACAAGAAAATTATGCTTTTTAGTACCTAGCTTTGCCCCAGGCCATCTGCAGTGCTGTTACTGTGCGAAAGTGCTGGTAGTGGTGTGTTTTCTTTGTAGTGTATTCATCCAGCCAAGACAAAAATGTGACCATAGTAATTCTTAGAAGTTTCGCATTAAACCGGCTAGCTTGCATTTCTCTCTGAGAGGTCATTTTTGGCATTTAAAACATGCTTTTAGAAAACAAAGTTGGGGCATGTGTACGCACAGGGTTAATCCTCCACACCCTCAACTCTAGAGCTGCTGACAAAGCCATGCTTTGCAGATTTTCAAATAAACTTTTTGTCACTCTTTGCTGCATGGCATTTCCCTCTCTCCTGGTTTTTGTTTTTTTTTTTTTTAAACCCCCTCTTAAATAAACCTCTTTGTTAAATAGCTGATGTTTCTGGATCATAGAAAATAGAAAGTTTCAAACACACAGAATATTTCCAAGTTAGCTACAGATCTGATGACAGGTTTTTGAATGTGCACTTTTATTTCTTAGGTCCTTTTTGGCCCTGTGCATGAGCGAGATTCCATGTTTGTATCCCAGTTGTGGTAAAATTGCTGACTTCTTGCTGGAAATCACTCGGCTCCAGGCGGCATTTCTTCTGTATGGCATTTAAGTTAAATTATTACAAAAACCACATGCACCCCCTTCTCCAATTTTCCTCTCCTTTTTTTCCCCCCACCTGGCATATGGAAAAAGAATTTCTCCAGCTGGGACTCTTTTCTCTGTTACTTCTGTGTCTGACAATCATATTATATGCGAAATACACACACACACACACACACACACACACATATACACACCTTTTAGATGAAACGTGTCATAGTAGCAGGAGGCGAATGAGACCAAGTGACCATGAAGTCGTGTCCCCCCCTCTGCTTCCACTTAGCTATTATGTTACTTGTAGATCATGGTCTAATTATTTAGCATGAAAAGAACACTAATTCTGCAGGGTGTGTAATCGTATTTATAGTAGGTTTTATTAGTTTGCATTCCATCCCGATTGTGCAGTGTCATAAATAACACGGTAGCATTGGGTGCCTGGACTGGTCTGCCCCATGGTACCGTATTTTACTCATCGTTATTGGGGAGGTGGGGATATGCCTGTGCTGGGGTACCGTGCCAGGTCTCCGGCACTGGTCAGAGTCCCAGCACTCTGCGGAGTTGGAAAGCAACGTCCGCTGGATGGGATGCGGTTTAGATTTATAGCAGCATGGCTCCCAGTGGCCTCGCTGTGTTTGCTGCCTGGTCAGCTGTGAGAGCTCCCTGCTGGGGCCACTCCTTTCTGATGGAAAAGCAGCAGCTGGGAAGGTGCTGTTTCAGGCTCTTGCTGTTTAAAAAAAAAAAAAAAAATGAGAGCAAGAGGGGGGAAAAAGCTCTACTAAGTCCACAAGCTGGCATTGGAGGGGAGCGCCCGGTCATGTGGGTCGGGCTACCCTACCCTCTGTCACAGTGTGGAGGAGAGCGTTCTGCTCTTATCCAATCATGCCTGGAATGCCGCTTGCCACTTGGGTTATTTCTGCTATCTGTCGCTCTGGGTGCTGCAGTTTTAACGGTTTGGCAGATGGGACACTTTTTCTTGGAGTTTGTGTCGCCGGTTTGTGACTTCTGGCAGTGCCGGGGTTGTTGCTGCCGCTCGCCCTCTCCCTGCCGGCCCCCCTGGTCACCATGGCCCATCGGCTTCGGTTTCATTTTGGCTCTGGCCGCAGCAACACAGCCCCCGAATCAGAGATCCTAGACCAGGAGAGAGAAGACGACTTTTTCATGGCATTCCACACCCTACCGCGGAGGAGCAGCCCGCACCCCTTCGCCCAGAACGGCGGTGAGGACGGTGGTGGCGGTGGCGGCCTGCAGGAAGGCGTGGGTGCGCTCAAGCGGAGCTCGTCCATGTTTATCCCGCAGCTTCTGAGCAGCATCGACGCACGCCCCACCCGGAGCTCCTCGGTGCAAATCTCCCTGCAGCGCAAAGCGGCTGACGGGGCCACAGACGGGTGCGGGCCACCCGAGGGTTCCGACGACAGGACTCGGTGTGCTTCACCTGACTTGGGGGACCAGGCCACTGCGACCACACGGGCCTCGTCCCAGAGCAGCTCACAGGAGCCCTCGCCAAGGGACACCCCCGGGAGTTCCCCTCCAAGGACAGCCCGGGACGCAGGGCTGCAGGTCAACGGCACGTGTGAGCGCCGCATGTGGTGCCCGGGCCGCTCAGAGGCAGACGAGGCCCCGCCCGGCCTCCGCATCCAGCACCGCGCGTCCAGCGCCGACGTGCGCCAGGTCAGGCTGCTGCCTTTCGGCCCCGACGGCCAGGGCAGCCCGTCGGCGCCCGAGCCCAGGCGCTGGTCCCTGCAGCATGTACCCGATGCTTCTGGAAGCTCTGGGAAGCGGTGTTTTGTCTTCCAGTTGCAGCAGCCTCAACAGGGTCCTCCAGGGCTGGGCGGTGACTTCAATTTCGGCTTCACTGGCACGAAGGGGGACAGGTTGGTGAGGTACCCTCGCATTCGGCTGGAGAGGAGCACCTCGTACCCCACCCAGCCCAGAACGGAGCGCGGGAGCCCCACGGAAGACCGAGGAACCCCGGAGACGCCACCTCGGGCCAGCAGGATGGGCCCCGAAGTGCGCAGAGTGAATTCCATGGAGAGGACTCCGCAGGGCCAAGGGTGCACATTTAAGATCAGGCAAGATCAAAACGCAGGGCAGCAGCATTTCAGGATTCTTGTAACTCGGGGACCGGAAGAAGCTCCCAAGGGTTCCGAGGAGAAAAGTGCCAAAGGCCCCGGATCCACAGTAGCTGGCGCCCCGGTAAGTTGCAGCCTGTGTGCTGGTGAGAGTCGCTAGGCAGAGAGTGATTCCATCCCAGAAGGTTTATTCTACAGCATAATTAAAATAAAGTTGGTGCTCTCTTACGGGAGCGTCCCTCCTTCGGAGTTGGCCTCTTCTCAGGACAGTGATTTGTGGTCCAGCG